TCTATGTTTTTTTTTATAATATATATATATATATATATATATATATAATATTCAAAATTTGATCATACTTTTAACCAACTACACTTCCTAAAGAATTAGAGAGGTACGGGTGAATTCTACTTTTCATGTTTGGATTTAAACCCTCTCAAATATTATTTACATATTCTAAATCACCCAAGCTTAGATTTTATATATATATATATATATATATATATATTGTTTGATGAAGACGGATGAGTCATCTTGTCTATGTTAGGTAGACTTTGTTACTAACCGTTGAGGACTTTGAATTATTTGATTTTGGTCGGTCGAAAAAGTTGAGAATTTTGTTGAAAATAGAAATTAATATTGGGGATGATGATGGCTAGTCACTAGTCACTGCTTGTGGGCAATTGTGTTATAATGTCATTGTCCATGTATCATAAAGTAAGATTATCCCATATATTATTCAATATATTATATTTCTATTTACTTTTGTTTCTATCTTTTATGTTAGTGATAAATTAAGAAAATATAATCTGTACCCGGTAAGATGATGTATTCGATTTAATTCGAAAATCATGTTTTCAACCTAATAAAACACGATTTTAGATAAACGGATAAATAAAAATAAAAAATATATATTTTTGAGATATAATGAAATGTTTGCGATAATCATTCAATAGAAATTATTGATTTATGTTGAAGATAACAAAGAATCCATGCTAAAGTTTTATGCAGAGAAAATTATATGTAAGATAACACTAAAAAATTTCTCACAAAATCATTTAGATCTTGTTAGAATTCATTGTAATATGTCTTTTTTCGCGTTAGAGAGTCTAAATGTGTTTATATACACCAAAATTATCGAATGGAGTCAAGAAAATGAAAGTTTTCTCCGACAAGTCGTGTTTGTTCGCTCAAACGATCATACAAAAGTTCTGACGATCGACTTATTGTCGGAGACGATCGATCGATCATCACCTCCTCTGAGCTTTTGATCCGAGAAGACGATCGATTGATCAGGTAACACGATCGGTCGATCACGCTCTGTAAATTTTTGGTTCGAGAGTGTGATCGCTCGTTCATCAGCCGACATAAACGATCAATCACACTCTCTGAGTTTTTCTAAATTTTTGGTCCGAACACGATCGACCGATGATGTGTAATACACGTTTTAAACCGAACGTATCATTCTCTCGACTAAACTTAATACTTTAATCAATTTGGCATGTTTTTTATAAGTAATTCACTCTTCTATTAAATTCATAATATACATTAACATGAATTTGATAAGAGATTAAAAACTAATCAGCTGTTATATATATATATAATATTTTGTATCGGATACTTGCAAAAATATTCTGATAAGAATAGTTTTGTGATTTTTAAAAATAATAAAATGTATTTTATAATTATATATGGGTATTCGTACCGGATTATAAAATTACAAAATCCAAATTCCAGCCCACCATATGGATAGTCTTTTGATTTAGTTACTCGGATACGTGATTTTCAAATATCCAAATGAATTGAAAAGCCCAGGCTTTTTCGCCATAGAAGCAGCTGATTCCAATGAGGGAGTTTAAAGTTCGGCCTGATAAGTTTGGGCCCAATGGGCCTTGACAGAATTAAACTTTAATTGGCCTTTTAAATTTTATTTCACTATGTTTTTATTTACATAAATTGAATTTAATCTGAATTTTCATACTAAAACATAATTTAACATGAAACAAACCAAAATTAACAAGATTGAAAAGACAAATTTATTCTATTTCAATTAAAATTTTATTAGTTCGATTTCAGTTGGACCCAATTGTTATCAATTTGAAATAATCCTAAAACCCAAACTAAATTCTAAATAAATTAAACCAAATCCATTTTGCCCGCCTCTTGAAAAAATTCTCATCTTCTGACACCTTTTTTCCACCAGTTTATCTAAAAAAAATATTGAGTTTCGGATTAAATGTATAAATAAAAAAAATATCCAACTTTTGAATCAGATTCAAATAAAGATTCGAATTGACCTGAAAATTTGATTTAATTTAAATATATAAATATAAAAATATCTCGATAATATCCATATTAGTTTAGATTCAATTAATTTTTAAATTATAATTTTAATAAATAGTTGTATACTAATCTTCGTGATCTCGCCATCATTAGAGTTAACAAAATTATCCAAAAATCAGATACGATGGATTAGGATATCTTATACTGACCACGATTAATTCATCTTTCTAATCACATCTTCATTTTTATTAAAACTGAAGAAGTTTGGACCCTCAAAAAGTAAAACGGAAAAACTAACCAGTTCTATTCACTTGAGAAAACTGTCAAGTACAACTCACTTTTTGTTAGAGCTACTCAACACCAAGATGAAACTCCCCCTGAGTTTCAACTCTCTCTCACAATGAATTCTACCGATCAAAAACCTTACCAACCCAAACGCTCACCAAAGGAATAGAGATTTTTCCATTAGGTCTCCCCCTCAGATCCACGCCCAAACACTCACCAGAGAAAAGAGATTTGCCCAATCGGTATCTCTCTCAAACCCACACTCACTCAAAAGTGAGTGCTCACTCACTAACAAAAAGACTCTCTTTTAATCAAATATGTTTTGCTCTCCGTGAGAACTGATATGCACTTGCTCTCTCCTTTATATAGGCTCCTCCAGTTCGCCTTAGATCTCCACGAATTGATTTGATAGACTCCTCCTTGATTTTCTTTGATTTCATCTTTATCTTCAAGATCTCATCTTTATCTCTTGTTTGACTCTATCTCTTCAGCCTTTGACCTTATCTCCAAGATCTTATCTTTATCTCAAATCTCCTCAAATCTTCTTGGCTTTGATTCTATCTTCATCTCTTCAAGTCAAATCCAAACTTCTGGCTTAACTTCGTGGTTCTATATCTTCAGATTGCTTTTCTTAAAATCTCTCCAAGTGGTTGACATTGAGTTCATCTCAATCTCTTAGTCTTTGACTTTATCTCAAACTCGTCAGTTGTACCTCAGAATTGCGTGAGTTCTATCTCGCCGGATTCTTCTCCTGAAATCTCTCCTGAAATCTCTCAAGTCTGTTGAACCTGCAATAACCACTTAACAACCAAAAAACACATGTGCAAATAATTGCACTAACAAAAACTTTATACATAAATATTATTGTTTTTTATTAAGTAAATCCGAGTTGGGATATCCGCGAGTATCCGAATATTAGTATATCATATATCCATAATTTTGGAATCCGAATACAAATATTAAAATTAGATATATGAAACTTCAAAATATAAATATAAATACTTCAATTTTTTTGGATATGCTATCCATATCCACTCATAACTATAAAAATAGTGTTTCATATAATACGGTGTTAAAAAAATACAGAAAAATCCACTTGAAATTAAAATTTTAAATTAAAAAGAATACTAGTTAAACATATATGCTCCTATGTTTTTTTACTAGCCTCTCCAGGTCATTAGAATCTTAGTGAGATCGAATTGAAAGTGAACGCTGCTCCATATGGACCATATCCTATCATGGTTTTTAATTATTTTTATCCTTTATAATATATATATATATATATATATATATATATATATACCAAATATTCTCTTCACTCAATATTTTATTTTATTTGTAAATATATCCACATAATATATTATAATTATTGATTGTAATTTAAATATATAAAATTTAATCCAATTTGAAATAAAATCTAATTCAAAACTTTTATATTATTTTAAACAAAATTAATCTAATTCAAATAAAAATCGAAAAAAATAAGATAATTTTAAAACTAAAATCTAAATTGATCCAATAATATAAAAATGAGATAAAATGTAGTTATTTAAAATAAAAATATCCGAACGAAACCAAAACTCCTACGTAAACCTTAAATTATCCTTATAATCACATGAGTTCTTGCGATTACTCGAATCATATGGCACGTAAGAATTTTCTTCATTATATTATTATTGATTTTTTCCTTTTAATGGGAAATCTTTTGCCGTATCCTAACTTTATTTTTTAGTATTTCTGCAATTTACAGTTGTAGACTATTAAATGTAGATTTGACAACCTGGACTAATAAATCATATTTTTCGTATATCCTAATGTCTTATTCTTTTTTTTTTTAATTTAATAACGCCTAATGTCTTATTCTTTGTAATTGAAAGATATATAAATAATTAACAAATCTATTTTTTTTTTCAAAAATGTATATGTATTTTTTTTTAATCCAAGTAGATACAAATAGCAATAAGATGATAATATTATGCCTTCAATCGCATACGAAGTTACAAATTAAATAGTAAATTTCGGACAAATAAACCACATCTTCTTTTAACTTGTATAACTTACTAATTACATGAATTTAATGGAGGTCAAGTAATAATTTGGGATTCGTTTGATTATCTCTATTTATTTGATTATAGATATACATATAATTTATATTTATAAAAATACTTTTACAGTATGTATATGTAAGACATGCACCACAAATGATATGATAATAAATTTTATTAGGTCCCACAAGTCTTATATATTATGACAATATATAAAATATCTAATTATATTAAGATTTTGGAATAATCTTCTTCGGAGGTGTTTTAGATTTGTTTAAATAAATATGTAATTTGTTTTTATTATTTAATTTTTCGATTGAATAGGATACGAGATAAAGAAGAAGTGTAATCATAATTTTTTTTTAGATTTAGTGTCTTAATAGGATTAATAGTTAGAAAAAATAATATAAATAAAACACAAAACCCACCCTCTACTACTTGTGGCGTGGAGATCTTGGAAAATCCTCCACCCTCTCTCATCTTCTATTATTGGGTTTATATTCTTTCTCACTTTTCTAAATAAATTGAAGGGTTACTGTTTCTCCACGTGGTATAGAGCCGTGTTCCACGTGCCGTAAGTCCACCGGGAACTCAACCACAACTTCTTGGTCACGTTAATAAACTCTACGACTCCACATAATAGCGTAGTACACTACGTGCAACATATAAACCACTCATATGGTGATAGATTCGTTAAAGAGTAGAATGAAGCAATTGAAGACGTAATGAGGAATAATGTTTAAGGGGAAGAATGTTGGAAGAATCTTGTTTGGAGGGATTTGGATTTGTTTTGTTTGTTTGAATAAATTTGTAACTTGTTTTTATGTCATTTAATTATGCATTTGAATAGGTTTATGGGATAAACAAGAAATGGTCATATTTTTGTAGATTTAGTATTTTATTTGTAAGGTTAGTAGTTAGGAAAAATAATATAAATAAAATGCAAAATTGTCTATATTTTGTGGGAGATTTTCCACTCTCTCGTCTTCTATTATTGGGTTCATATTGTTTTTTGTACTTTTCTGATAAAATAAAGGGTTTTTTTTTTAATTAGGTCCCTTTATTTTCAGTCCACCTTTTCGTTCGAGATTAAAATATTTGAAATAGAAAAAACACGTATTAATTTTCATTAAACAGAAAATGGGAATGAACTAAACGGTCACAAGGGCCACAAAAATTAATAGATTAAATTAATGAGATGAACTATAATCCTTCAATACAATTAGAAAGAGATTTATGATTGCACAGTTCATTCTTTTTAGAGGAAATTTAGCGCAAGATATATAAGTATTGATATTTTGGGATTTCGTTCTATTATTTTTATAACTTTTAGATGTTTAGAATGGTTACATTTAATTACATTTATTTATTTTAATTTAATTATATATGGATTCAGAATTTATTTGTTGAAAAATACAGATTCAATTTTATTTAATTTTTTAATGTTTTTTATAGTTTATTTAAATAAAAAAATTAATTTTAGAAATATTTGCGGGTTTGTGATAATTTAATTAAGTTTTTTTCGAAAAAAAAGCATTTAAAAAATTAGAAACTTAGGGTTAGTAGGAGCAGCCTTTTATGACCAAATGGTTTTTTAACAACAAGACAAAAAAGCTTGGATCATGACATTTTATCAACCATTAATTGCAAAACTTTTGCCAATAAAAAAATGTATAAGAGAAATTAATTTGATGTAACACTCCGATACGTCTATATATGTTTATTGTATGGCTGTTTGGTTAGGACAAGAGAGAAAAGAAACAGTCAGTCGGCATAATTGCCGGCGGCTGAAAGCACGTGTGTATGCTGTGGGGTCCACTTCCTTTCGATTTTCCAGCTTTTGGTGGGTGTTCCTAGATTTTCTCAGAACAGTTTAATCTGATGATTCAGATTCTGCCACGTCATCTAATTTTTCATGTAATAGAAAATACGATCTAAAGAAGCCAATAAACGGGAAAAAAGTTTATAATGATCAAACTTGGGGATGTCTGAACAAAAAAGTAATTCTTAAATATTAAATTTTGGAATGTGATTTTATATTTATTGGTTTTAGATATTCGAATTTAATAAAAATAATATTAAAATTAGTTTTATAGTTATAATATTTTCATAAAATATTTTGTTATTTTAAAAACGATGCTAAAATATACTAATTACTTCAAAATATTTACAATTTTATAAATTTTAATAAATATTATTGATATTTATGAAATCTGTTGAAACATACATATATAAATTCATTACTATTATAAAGACGGTATCTGCGTTTGTATTTGACTCGTGTCATTTGGATATCGGATTCATGAATAATTTTTTAATCAGATAAAATATACTTTAAATCAGATAATTTTACTGACCATGATAGGAAAAATAATATTAAAAAAGATACGAATTTTGCGTCGATTTGGATGATCAGATCGTTATAACCGTGTTTCATAAAATGATTTTTTAGATATGTTTAATGTTTATGGAATTTAAAATTTCAATATTAAATAAAATGTTATTGATCTCGATTGGATTGGGTCAAAAAGATGTTATATCATTTGCCTTTCAATACGATATTTCGTTACATATTTGTTATTCAATAATAATAATAATTTTCGGTGATATAAACCGACGTAACGTAGTGGTACGGGCGAGGTGATCCAGTCACGTCATAATAAAGTAAACAAATAACGTGATAAACACATAAATAGCTACCAGATGGAGATACATACGTATCTATCTATCTATATGACTATATACATTATATTAGCAATATATAAATACATTATATTAACCATAAAAAAAAAATCAGTCGAATCGATCGAAATAAAATGATAAATCAAAAACGGACAGAGGCAATGATTATGTTGTCAGTTGCCATAGCGCAAGGCAAAATCATTCCTTTCCACTTCCCGAATATTTATTTGTCTAAAATTTAACTGATGAAAATCAAAACTAGAAATGAGCCATGCTGGAAAATCCAACAATATTTTATAAAAATCTGGATTTTCGAAAATAGTTTTTTAATTATTATTTAAGAGAGTTTTTTTTTGGTTGAAAATAGTTTTTCGAGAGAGTTACCTTCACGTATATATGTTTTTCCAAACGAGTGAGATATATAGATATATAATATATACACATACTTGATGGAGAAATAAATAAATGCATTATAAATTATATAATTCGTACCACATATAGAATAACCTTATCCATGGCCACGAATTAGAATCAAATCACTATACATTACCAATATAAAATGATGTTTGAAGAAAGTTACAAAAAGAATATAATGCATGTCTTATAGTTGTCGCACCAATATGAATAATATACATTAGCACTCTGAATTAAAAAAAAAATTATCCAATGAAAATCAATGAGCAAAACGAGTAGAGAATCGACTTTATCTCTCAAACGATATTTTGCTTTTATCTATGTCAATCTCGTAACCCTAATTTAAAAAATAAAAATCAGAAAAGGTTCAGGCATGGGAATCGCATGTTAAGAGTTCATCCTCCTATATAAATCCTAAGACCAAACCGTGCCTCGTTCATTCATAGTCATCATCAATTTGGGAACTTTAGAGAGAGAGAGAGAGAGAGAGAGAGAGAGAGAGATGGAAGATGAGACAAAGTCGAGATTCAAGAGGATCTGTGTCTTCTGTGGGAGCAGTTCGGGCAAAAAACCCTCCTATCAAGAAGCTGCCATTCAATTGGGCAATGAATTGGTACGTTCTTTCCCCTTCTTCTAATTTCTCCAACTACCACCACATCTCTCCCTCTCTCTATATTATACGTATATATGTAGTATATGTATATGTGTGTATCTTCATTTGTAGAAAATCTTGTTTTTTTTTCCAATTCTAATTAAATTTTGTACGAATGCAATTAGCATTCTTTTTGTTTTTTATTAGTGCTCACATGAATGAGCTTCGTCAATGGACTTCACTTGTGTCTACAAAAGAGAGAAATTAAGAAACGCTATAAATTTTTTTTTTTTCGATTTGTGTAAATATCTTCTGCTCGAATGCATAAAAGGGCATGCGTGGTATGATGGTGTGCTGCAACGAACAAATGATAAGATCAATGAAACGTGGGGTTGATAATCTGCGTGGATTTTAAAATCTTACAATTTGGGGACTCCATGTTTTTTGTAGAGTATGCTTAGCTGTAACATGTCTGTCACTCCACCAGCTCTCTTGCATGATCCCTCATTTGTTTTTGTTTTATGTCATTTCACACAATTACACATACACACACACACACATATATATAAATATTGTATAGATACGTATTCATACACAACTGTATCTATGCATGCATGCATGGAAGTGATGATAAGTTTTGCCCCGAGCTAAAAACCAGACTTCCTCCCTCAGAAATCTTGTCTTGTTCTTTGCTAAAGCGCGTCCTTTCAATAATATTTTTGATTTAATCTGTTCATGAGGTAAATAGTATCGTGCCTCTCTGTCTTTCTCTCTCTCTCTCTAGATTTTGATAGGATCAATGCGACTTTTGATGATGAGATGTCTCTTTAATGTGAGATTTGATGTGGATGTGGTTTGTCGAGGGTCAATCTAGACTCAAGGCGTCGATCATGGACGTGGGCTTGTGACACGTGTCCCATATACACTTTTCATCATATGTACTTGTGCGGGTGTGTGTAAATATATAAAATTAATGATGGTGGGAGCGTGTGATTGAAGGTGGAAAGAAGAATTGATTTGGTATACGGAGGTGGGAGCGTGGGGCTCATGGGACTCGTCTCTCAGGCCGTTCATCATGGTGGTCGCCATGTCCTAGGGTTTGCTTTCTCTCTCTATATATAGTCTATATATATTAGTGTGTGTGTATATATATATGTAGCTTTTAATTGTCGTCATTCATAATGTTGCAGGGTCATTCCCAAAACCTTGATGCCAAGAGAGGTATGTGATGTAAAAATGAAGGGAAAAAAACCCCATCAATTTCTCGCTTAGTCATCATGCTAAACTATGGGAAAATAAATTAGCTTGAAATCGACCAACCATATCCTTTTGGACCGTTTTTATATGTATTAATATTAATATTAATATTATGGAGCAACAATGTGTACCCAAGTAAGTAGCTAGTGGTAGGACCATAGAAAAGGAGGACTGAAATCCGTTTTCTAATATTTTTGTGGCGTGTAACCATTTCGTTCACTATATCTAATCGTGACCAACCAATATTATATATATATATATATATATGTATATTATATAGTGATACGTGTATATAATAATGTTGTAGATAACCGGGGAGACCGTCGGAGAAGTCAAAGCCGTTGCGGATATGCATCAAAGGAAAGCCGAAATGGCCCGTCAAGCTGATGCCTTTATTGCCCTTCCTGGTTTGCTTACAAAAATGACTAAAATATATAAATTCGATTCGAAATAATTTTATATTCCGTCTTTTCCAAAAACCTTATATATATTATCCTTATGTTATTTTACAAGAATTGCGTCACGAATGAAATGTTTGTTAAAATTCAGGTGGATATGGAACCCTTGAAGAGCTGCTCGAAGTCATTACGTGGGCTCAACTTGGTATCCATCGCAAACCTGTAAGACGAAACACCCTCTCTACGGTTTTTTTGGCCCGACTGTAATCTCGTCGTCTGAAGAAAAACGAATTTGTGTATATTATAGATATACATGTAATCTATATATATAATTATATAAAAAAAATAGATTTCCATTTTGCATTTCGTTTATGAATATAATGAGTCTCCATCATTTTTATCGTTCAAACTGTTTTTGAAACGTCGGACCACGACATGTTTTATGTCATGTAATTAAGAACCATTTATATAACTTGGGGGGGGGGGGGTTTTTT